TAAGTTATAAAAACACATATTCTTTTACATTAGATCACTAAGTAATCATTAATACTTGAGGCATACACTTTTTTATGTGCAAATTTTGAGTTGTACGCCTCACATCAAATTTGAGAGGCTTAATCCTTGAGGCAAATTTTGCGTGCCTTGCCTTAAGTTGTACGCCTCATGCCTCAAGGCTTAAGTCTTTTAAAACAATGGTTAGGTTGGGTTAAGCCTAACCCTAAGCTCTAAACCCCCAACCCAACCTTCAACTTAACCTACCCAAACCTTAACTAAATTCCTTCAACCCAAACCCAGACCCTACCCAACCTTAACCCAAACCCTAACTTGACCTACCCAACCTTAACCTTAACCCAAACCCTAACTAAATTCGGGTTGGTCTGGGCTCGTCATGGGCCCAACCAAACTTTCTTTCCATCCCTTAAAATCTCGTAGAACTTCTCAATCTCAGATCTTAACTCAACTTTCACTAAATGTATTAATTCTATGTTTTATTAGTATTTATTTTTTGATGTTTCTATTGGTTCTTTTAGTAAAAAAAATAAAAAAAAAAAGTGTTCTAAATGACTATGGTTTAGTATAAATTATGACTTGTGATATATCTTTTATGGGTAACGAGCTATGGGTGGCAAACAACAAAGAGGAGATGAAGAATAAAATATTGAAAAAATATAAAATATGTGATTAAGGTTTTAGTCTTTCCGACTAGGATTAAATGATGTGATTATATATATAATTGAGTTAGTTTGGTTTGGGTTGGGTTGCTTGAGGAGTCAATCCTAACCCAACTTGATGCAAGGTTTAAAATTTTGCAACGTTGTTTCAGGATAGTTCAAAACACAAAACATATAAAATTAGATAATTTCATGTTTTTTATCCCTATCGGATCGATATGGGTCTGTATCGGCCTTGCATCAAACCATTTCTGGTATGTGTTGGTCGATACAATCTTGAAATGGGCTGATACATACTATGTATCAGATATAATCTTAATTTAATTTCCCTTTCTTTTTACTGTTTAAATTCAAATTCAAATTTAATTTCTAGTATGTGTTGGTTGATACAATCTTGAAATGGGCCGATACATACTATGTATCAGATATAATCTTGAAATGGACCGATACATACTATGTATCAGATATTTACTGTTTAATTTATCTCTCTTCCTTCATTTATATCACTTTTAATTAAGCCTTTGAATTTGAGACATCATTAAATGCTAATATTATTTAATTAAATGCTCTTGAGTCACCTTTAATTAAGGTATTTGACACGTCATTAAATGATAATTAAATCAAATACCTTGTTAAAAACCATAAATTGAATGTAACAAGTTTCAAACCCTAAATTTATTTATGGGTAAAATACAAAAACCTCCCCTATAGTTTCTGACAATGATAAAAACCTCCCCTATAGTTTCACTTTAATAAAAACCTCCCCTAAACTTTTAAAAAAATCGACAAAAACCTCCCTTTCATTACTGACCCAAACGGAAAACGTTTAATTGATCCATATTTTTTTTTCAAAATACCATTTTATCCTTTTATAAAATAGGCACTGAGATAACCAATCGGTGAAGAAGGGATTAAGCTGACCAATAATAGTTGCCGGTGAAGAACCATTACTATAGAAACACCTACATTGCAGCATGGCAATCCTCCAAATGCAAGAATAGGGCCTCACAAAAGTAGAACTACGTTATTTGCGAAATGTAAAGAAAATGAATAGAATAGATAGAAAGGATAGGAAAGAAATACAAGAAGAGACCCTTTTCTTTGGAGGAGTTATTTCTTTATGAGAGAGAGGGTTTGGAGTTGCTCGTCGAGTTTTTTTTTAATAACTTTTGGGCCTTCTCTTGGTCTAACTCAAATTGGGATTCCTTTTCCATGGGCACACAGAGATGAATTTCTCCTCCTATTCTTGAAATTCTAACCCCCATGATGGAATAGCGAAACAGAGGGTATAACCTTCAGCTTAAAAAAACAGAGGGAGAGATTAATGGCGGTTTCTGAATTGTGAGAGCTTGTGGAAGAATTTGACCACACAATCCAATTTCCAGAACCAAAATGACCAATTTTTAGTCATCGAACAATAAAATCCACTACACACAAAATCCCCATTATCTTTTAAAGCATTTATATGTTCATATGAGCATAATATCCATTGTCTCTCAAGGTTGATGGGACTAGAGCACAACTTTTCAATGAATTGTTGTCATCTCAATTTCTCAGTGACATAGTTCTAGATATAGTGAATTAGTGATAAATACAAATATTCCGTTCCTATTGAAAATCATGATAAATTTAACTACGGGATCCCAGCCCAAACTCTTGCTTTTGAGATTTCATTTAATCGCCGTATCCATTTTCCCTGCTCTATGGGTCTTTTTTTGGTGAAATACTTTGTTTTGTGACTCTGTCATCCAATTCTTGAAAAGGAAGCAACCATTTTTGTTGAATTAGAGCAGAAAGATATATATGGCTTCAAGAACTATTGCCAAGGATATTATCACTCTTTGGGGTTCTGCAGTTATCGTCAGTGAGTCTTCTTCCCTTTTAACTATTACTTGGAATCTTCCACCCTCAAAGGTATTTAGCATTGAGTTAACATTTGATGAAGGAATGCCCAGGAAGTGAACGTCCGAAAACTGTTCTTCACTAGCAATTGTTATTAGTTAGTTATTTCAGTACCCATTTTACAAAAGGGTAAAATGGGTATTTGGAAAAAAAATATGGATCTATTAAATGTTTTCTGTCTTGGTTAGTGACAGAAGGGAGGTTTCTATCAATTTTTTTAAAAGTTCAGGGGAGGTTTTTATTTAAGTGAAACTACAGGGTAGGTTTTTATGATTATCAGAAACTATAAGGGAGGTTTTTGTATTATACCCTTTATTTACATTGACAATTAGTCTACCACTATGTCATACCTTTATTGCTTGTCTTAATAATTGTATTTTGATACTTAAGTAACCTTTCTTCTCTTGGTGGAAGCCTCTCAATAAATGATAAAATTTGATTATTAAAATTTCTATAATAGTAAAAATGTTATATTTATTTATTAAAAATTAAGATACATATTAACTTATATACATAATAAATTAGGGGTGCAAATGGATCAGATCATGATCTGATCTAGTCCAAAGTCTGATCCTATTTTTTTGGAATCTGATATTCCCATTTCAGATCACTCCCTTTTCGATTCGAGAGGATTCGATCCAATATATAAGTTATTTATTTATTTGTATATATATATATATATATATATGTGTGTGTGTGTGTGTGTGTGTGTGTGTGTGTGTGTGTGTGTGTTGTGTTATTTATTTATTTATAAATATGTTATTTATATTGCATTTTTTTACTTTATTATATTATTTATATTTTTATAAAAAACATGTGTATAATTATGATGAAAATAGTTGAAAAGATACTTGTATTTTTTTTGTTTTTCTTTATTTAAATTGTTATATTTTATTTTTTTCTTTTAATAATTTATTAATTTTTTTAAAATTAGTTTGGATTAGATCAGATCCAAATATTCAACCTTCTCATCAATTTCGATTCAAATATGTGAGATCCAATCGGATTGGATCTGCTGTTCAAAGAATCGGATCAGATTCAGATATGCCCTAATTCAAATTCGATCTGATTCATTTGCATATCCCTATAATAAATATTATCTAATATATAATAAACATTAACTAATTAATGACTTCAAAAAATATTAACTAATAAATATTAGTAATATATACACACATACATTTTAGTTCTTCTAAGGATTTTTTTTTTTTTGGATTTTCTAACATATCCATGTGTATCTTGATGTTTTGTCCATATCTATGCATATCTAAAGTGTTTCCCGATACATCTCTTATAATTACCTATTTACATTTCGCATACACTTTTCATTCCGATACTTTGAACCTTGACCTAAATTAAAGTCAGGTTCCTGAATTTCACCCTAACCCAAACCCAAGCATTAAACCGACCCAACCCAACCTGACTTTTTTCGGCTGGAGTTTGGACCAATCTGGCCCAAGTTGCAGCCTTATTGCCCACAAACCTATTGTTTATTGATTGCTAACTTGTTTACAATGATAAACTCACTGAAAGTTATAAGATAATATCCCTCTCGTTTTTTTTTCTTTTTTTTTAAATCATATGATGGTATAATGACTGGTAAAGAAATACCAACTCATATTCCAAAAGACCGAATAAATTACCCTATCTAAGGACTTAAGAAATTAGATTCAAAACAACGTTGTTTACCATTCTAAATTAATTTTTAGTTTAACGATCTGAACAAGAGAAGTGGCACACCTGTTCAATCCAGTGGGTCGGGACGTCCGGTTACTCAGCTTTTGATGCAGCAAATCTTGTAAATGCGCAAGAATTGGACTTCCAGTTCCAGATGCTGGGACCAAGGTACTATTCGAACCTGGGCCAATTGGAGTCATTCAACTTTTGAGGTATCAATACTGTAATTTCCAGTTGCAGTGAATCAGGTTAGTCAACTTTCGAATTTTGATGTAGCCAATCTTAATTCTGTTGTTTTCTGGTTCAGTATCCTTTATTGTGTTTCTCATGTATGGAAGTGACATGTTGGGGCTTAAAATGCTGGCAAATTCCATCTTGATTCTGAGTCCCACTAACCCATGAATGTTTGACACATACCCTTAGTGAGCATTGCATGTGACTTCAATCAGTGAGTTATTCTTGGGTAGACCAGAGCCCAAACTTGAGTCGAGTATTCTTTATGAGTGGTCCAAAATTCAAATAAACACCATCATTAACTAAGCTAAAAAACATGTCAAAGACAAATCTGCAGTCCAAAGTGGTAGATGCCCGGATCCTAAGGTGGCATGCAATTTCAAAATAAACTAGATGACAAGGAGATTGGAGCTGCACGTCTATCCATTGTGCTTAAGCAACCTCTCTTGCTGTGGATTCCCAAACATACAAAAGTTAAATTATAAAAATGAGAATAGAACTTGCAGTCAATGAAACCCTCCATAAGCAAGACTGAAAGCAGACTTTATTAAACCAACAAATAATCTAACTTCCTGTACAACATTGACATGAAACAAAAAAAAAAAAGACTAAGAAAAACCCTTCGGAGAAAACAACAGATGCTTGAAACTTTCATACAAGGAAAATAAATCAGAAGAGGGAGTTGTAGGTAAAGCAGGTGGCAATGATGGAACATATGCAGATGAAGAGGGAAGGAAGTAAGGTAACATTCAAGAGCTTGCTTTCACCCAAATACCCGGCCAGCGTAATAGTGCCATCTGCGACCACCCGAGCTAATGTACCAGCTTCTGTCGAAAGTAGTCCGCCATTGTAGGTCCCACGAGCAAGCCTGGATGACATAACCCGAGATAGGAGCGATAGGTTGACACCTGTATCAGTGAAGCAGATGACATTGGATGTTAAAAGAATGCCTGGACTAGACAACATCAATGCCATTGACAAGTTAAATCAGCATTAACAATTAACGTTTGGGAGAATGACGGTTCAGCCCAGAGTCACATTTTCATGCTTGGGGAATGTCGATCCTGAACCAAGCAATCATTATCTCATATCAGAGTATCATTTCATGCTTGCTCTTGTATCTTACCTCTCTGTGTTTCATTGTCCAATTAATGGGAGAATGAGGATTTAGCCCAGGGTCAAAATTTGTAGGTTCAAAGTACATTTGGGATAAGTGCCAACTCGAAATTGATACTAATTCACAGCGGATATGAGCGCATAAAATATGAGTTTTTAACCTTTTGAATGTTTAATTTCCTTCTCCGATGTTTAATTTCCTTGTTTCAGAGGAATCCTTGTTGATGTACTAGTCGCATTTTTCATATGTTTGTGTCAACTGTCAACGCTAGCTGTTTATTTATTTATTTATTCTCTAGGTCAATGGACTCCGAAAATTCAGAACCCAATTTAACATCCAATTAGATTATCTTGAATTTGGATAATTCTTTTACATAATTAGATTGGATTTGAATTTTACAATTGATTAAACTCCACTCAGTTTGATTAAAATCCGAGTCCAATTATTTCATAATATACATTGATTTATTATATAAATTTATATAATAATATATAAATATAAAAACATATAATTTTATATATTATATATAGATATATGAATTTATTTATAACAAATTCAATATTTCAATATTTCATATATATATATATCTGTGTGTTTGTGTTAAAATGTAAATAACTTTTTAATTTTCCTTTATCTTTAAAAAATATAAAACGGAGTTAAATTAATTAAATCCGAATCTGATCTAAGCTTGATAGGTCCCAAATCCAATCCGAGATCCTCACATCTGGTCAGATTTTGGATTAGATTCAGATTTCAGATTTTATTAACTGGTGGATTGGATTTGGATTTTGCTGAAAGATCCAAGTCCGACTAGGGGTGCTCACTAACTGAACCATGGGCATTTTTCTAAAACCAAACCAGTCCTATCAGTTTTTATATTTCTCTAAACCAAAACTGAACCAGTACCACCAGTATCAGTTTTTAACTGGTTTGATTATTCGGTTTTTTATATTTATAACATATATTATATATAATATTATATTACAAATAATAAATGATATATAATATATGGATAATATGTCACACATACACGGTCCTTCAGTTTTTTAAAAATATCAAACCGATCAGTTTGACAGGTTTGGTTTTTTAGTTTTATATGAGCACCCATAGGTCCAACCTGATTACGGCCCTAGTTTTCCCCTCCCCCGTAGGATGTAGCTGGAGTTGGCAATTTTTGACAGTCTGGACCCAGGCCCATCCCCCACCCCCAATTTTGCTACTTATGTAGATAATATGCATTCATACGAATTGTTGCAGACTACACGTAGCATACATAAGCATACAAAAATAATGTATTATATATATATATATATATATATATATAGCACATTGCTTGATGTAATGGTAAAATCTCATGGCTGTCAAGTGTGATAACATGGACTTGACCGTTTGAGTCTAAGAGTTAAAAAAAAAAGAAAAGCCAAAGACATCGTTTCTGCAACAAACCCAGCCCAATATTGCAGCCTAGAAACCAGGTTGAGTTGCAAACTGACATCCTTTGGGTAGGGTGTGAATTTTCATCTCATTTGTTTTCGAAAAAAAATTCTAAATTCTAATCCTACTCTTGTAAGTTGAATCAGAGATGTACTGGCACCTTTGATTTAGACACCCACGTAGGGTGGTGTAACTACCAAACCACCCATACGAAAATATACAAAATCCTTGACTAACATGAGCATGTGTAAAAGCAATAGTAAAGAATAGATCTCTAATCCTACGCAAGAAGGTACGATAAGCATCCCTCAAAATTCTTTCAATCTTGGATATAAAGATAAACTTATTCAGGAAAATAAACCAAATGTAGTGAACATGATGGTTCGTGCATGGCTATATGACATGATGGTTCGTTATTTATGTGTTTTCTTGTGGTTGAATGTGCTTTAGAATATCAGATCACAAACTAGTAAAATCGATTATTACAGCATGTCAAACCTCACTGTGTGGATTCGGTTTTGCCTAAATGTTGGGCAGAATTGAATCAACTTTTTCAGATCAATTTGCTGCTGTTTTAAGCCACAAAAATTGTAAACCCAAGAAAATAGGGTTTGAGATAGAAAGAGTGGCAGAAATTATTCTTTGGGAAGTAAAGAATTTCATGTTTTTGTTCTTTGGACCTCAAGTTGTACAAGCCAAAGAATTCCATGTTGCCTACAAACCCAAGTCCAAGAGGTTCTATGTAAGGTTCTTAATGAGGTTAATCACAGATGTCCCATCTTTATAGCAACTTGTTGACACTAGACAGCTAGAACTGACCTCTTAAATTCTTTAGATACTTGAATTTTTCTTTTCTTTAGGAATCTTCTTTTATTGGGTTACCTTGAAAATTAGCTTCTTTTCCTGATGAAATACTAGTTTTCCCTACAAACACTTTCCTTCAAAATTAAGGGCCACTGTTTGGTGCAATGGGAAAATGTCAAGCTAACAATAATGAAAATTCTGGTCTCTGAGTCTGAGAGTGGCCACCTCAAGCTAAAAATGCCCGAGGTTATCAGTCTACCCCAACACTCCATACAACATGAACCACCAACATCGAGTAATGGCCCTCTTTTAATAAACTTTTTGTAACTTAACCTCCCACTTATTTACCTCTTGTAGTGATGAAACTCCATCATTCCCATCCCTTGGGTTGGTGATACTCCAATCCAAGGTTTAGGATTATGGTAGAAACATTACACATCTCCTTCACAATTCCGTTCTCTATTCCCTCTGTTAGTTTTGTGCATAAATACCACTAAACCTTCTGTTACAACTTCAGTCCTCCATAGGGTTCATCCATCTAATGGTTTCCACCACTGACATACTGAAGAGACAGAGTTACGGGGAAAACCCCTAGCATATCAAATGCCTGGTCAAAATACTGAGAAAATATTTTTATGAATGGTCAAACTTATAATGGACAATTTGGATAGAGTTCTAAAATATTTAACAAGAGTAGTTTATAAAAGCTCCTAAAGAAGATGGAGTGACAAACAACATCACTACTTTTAATAAAAATATAGTATGATACAATTATTGCTTAGCAAGAAAACTAGGCTCCATAATTAATTAATACAAATGGAACAGCTAAACAGAACTTCACAAGAATAACAAAGAATCCATCTAAAAATAATTTTATGCAGTAGAGAACAAAAATTTATGGGGAAAACATATAGGATATGGCACCCTAGCTTAAAAGAGGATGAAAATGATTACTATAAACTGATTAAGCAAATAAGCACTACGTTGGAGGGGTGCAAAAAGCTAAGAAATATGTATTATTTGAACAGACCTAATATATAGATCAAGAAATATAAATAAAATGTTTTGCTTAGCAAGACAATTATAGAATTCATGATGGAGCAAGTATATTAAAATTTTATTTGAATAAAGCTGTCATGGCTATACCTTCAAGAACTTCAGCAGCTACGAATGTGACAAGGGCTGAGAAGACGTATTGGGGCACAGAATATGGGCTTATTATGTGGAAGCTCAGCAGTATTCCTATGCACACCATCACTTCAGATGCGAGCAAAATTTGCCTGCAATTAATATAAAGGAAAAAAGAATGATCAGCTAGTTATGGCAGAAGTAACTCCCAGACCTGAGGTATAGCATGCATGTCAGTACATAGATCATAAATTGGACTTTGACCATAAAAGAAGAACTCATGGATCATATCCAACCAAAAGAAGAAATATGTCTTCAGTAATACTTTCATGGCCATGCAGTAAAAAAAGTATAGATTTGTAAGTACAGATGTTTAATGCCAACCGATTACTTACAAGAACACCTAGAAGTATAATTCTCATTATACTATGTTCATTATTTTAACACATTGATCATTGGGACAATGACATTGTATTGGTAACATTTCTGCATTTGTTCTGCTTAGCAAACTTAAGATCCCCTCTACCTTAGTAGGATTTTAATCATTTCTGCCTGGGCCTGCATTGCTCACTCAAGCCCGGCCAGGAAATTTCTAGGTTGGGTCTGATGATTTTCTTCCAGGCCTGGACCAGCCCAGCCCAGACCCACATCAAGCTCACACACAGGGCAGGCCAGGCCCGGACCAAGCAAATGAGCTACAACTTGGAGCATTCTAACTTCTTCAGTGAATCAATGTTCCTTCTCTTATGAGTTCAATTGAACATTGCTGATCTTCTACTAAAAATGCAAACAACCAGGCCTATGGATGAGCTCTGTGGTTAATAACAAGTGTCAATTCAGTATATCCTTTTTTTTTACTTCAATTATGTGAAATTTTTAAGTCCTTTGTAAATGGAGCACTTTTTTGTTTATTTTGAATAACAATTTTCAAATGGCATAAAATATTCCAGATGGAGGCAATATTAAGAAAATTATTAAGAAAACATAGAACTTGTGTGTAAAACATCAAGTATTGTTAAAATGACTCATTCAGCCATAATGCACTTTTATTCATACTATTAGAGAATAGAAACCTATTCAGGGACCTCACCTAACAGTTTAAGCTTTTGGGTGGAACAGTTCCTTGAGATGGCATCAGAGCCTGTTTGACTAAGTGGTTTAGTGTTTGATCCTTGTCGGCTCTATTATGATTAATTAAATTTCAGCACAAGGTATGGGTGGGCCTATGTTTGTCCAGACATCAAGCCCAATAGGCCTTCACATGAGGGGGCATGTTATAGAATAAAAACCTATTCAAGGACCTCACCCAATAGCTACATGTTTCTCTCTTCTTTTCCTTTCTTTTTGCAAACAGTTCTAAACCAACTTCCTTTGGAGGCTACTGATTTGGGTACACCACATGTTTTTAAACTACACGCATCTAGGCTCATTATCCAATGAAAGTTCTGATCATCCAAGGTCTTGGGATGGGTCAACTAGATATGGGCCAACCTTTTGGCAATTTTCTTTTGCGCAGTGACAGCTCTCATACTAAACCTGTTTTCTCACGTTAAACCACACACCTCTATTGGATAAAAGATATCCCTGTGGTTCAAAGTATCGATACGCCCGTGTATCGGTACTTTGCACCATGTGCGTTTATATTTTCTTAGTTTTTTTTTCAAAACCTGGTTTTTGGGGGTATATTTAAGCGTATGTTTTTATTACAAAAGGGGGTTCCCGAAACACCTGTAAACAGGTGTATCAGGACCCCAATAATGCAATATGCCCGATAAGGCTGTATACAGTAACAGAACATTAAAAGTTAAAATACTGAGCTTAAGAACATTAATACAGTAACAGAACATTAATACAGGGGTAATTTTGTCTTTTAAAACACGTATTGTTTGACTAATGATTAGGGGTATGCCCCCTTTATCAATACAGTTCCAAAAGCACCTATTAAAAGTTAAAAGAATATTATCTGAGAAAAATTTCTGAACCAACGTAATGCAGTATTAGATGTTCCGGGTATATTTTTATAAAGGCCAAAATACTGAGCTTAAGAAAATCAAGAAAATACAGGCTTGGCCCCACTTTTTCTAGCATTGTACTCTTTAAGCCCCTAGTTTTAACTCCAAAATACATGTTTGCATCAAATCATCGATATACATGCATTGAAGGTGGGGCCATTGTAAATATATAAATAAATAATTATAAATTCAAGAAAATAATTACAAAGGCTCAAATATTTTGAAACCTTGTAGATATGAGAGTTTGATCTCAAGCAACTTAACTGAAATTATGTTGTCTTCATCAAAGTTAATAAAATGTTCACAGGTTCTATAAAAAGAGGTAGTCTAGGGACATTTTGGGTCCTATAGTAACAGATCTTTTGGGTAAAATTTCTCACATCAAGGAATGCTTCCCAAAATATTGATATACACATCGGAAAATGTGGCATAAACAATTACACAATAATTTCTTCATTCTGTTGCTGAAATATTTTAAGATGGTAAAGCCAGTAAATCTAAGGATAGATATATCAATGTTGCTGTTCTTGACTGCTAACCACAAATCATTACCCACAAAGACAACATTAGTCAGTAATACATTAAAACCATGCCCTATTTAAAATTTTACCTGTCTTCAAACATGTTGCTGATGTAGCTGCCAACAACAATATTTACTGGAAGAACTGTTAATCCAAGACATGCCAGAAAAATTGCCACTGAACTGGTTGTCCAACCAAAATAGTATGTTGTAATGACACTAGATTCGGAAAGTAAAATCTCCATTGCATATTTGAGCATGAAATATATCAATAGCTGGACCTGAAGAAAGGAAAGATATAAATTAGTTGTTTGATCAATAACAATAAAACTTATAAGAAATAACAGGTAGAAAAGTACAAATAAAGGCAATACTATAAGGACTCCTAACCCAAAATGAACAACTAGAAAACAACAAGGTAGGCATAAATACAATTAATTGTTTGATCATAACAATGAAAGTTATTAGAAACAACAGATTCAAAAAATACAAAAGAGGGGTGCACTATAAGGACCCTGACCTAAAATGAACAACCAGAAAACAACTACAAAATCATAAATACAAGAGAGAACCCTTGATAAAAGAATTTATTCAGGATAGATGATCCTCAATCTAAGACAGTTCTCCCAACCCTACTATCAGAAATCAGCCATGTGGAGTTTTGGGCATTCCCCTTCAATCTTCATAATCTCAAAGACCAAGGGGAATGACTCTAGAGCTATAACAAATGTAGACAATCCTAATCCAACTAGAACCTTCATATCTAATCTGACCAGAGTACATGGTAGTGTCACCTCCCCAGTCTTTATATGCACCTCCTACAGAACTACATCTGACGATCCCTAATTTTCAAGAAATATTCATCTAAGTTATGCTCGACTGCTTCTTTAAGAAAGGGGTGTGGACTAATCCTCACCAATGGCTTTCTTACAAACCAATGAGCTAGCAAGTACTAGCCATTTGACCATCAATAATACCTGGATACAGTACATTCTTAGCATACCCATGTCAGACATGGTTCATGGAATTGATCAAGATTGCATATGTAATTTAGATAAGAGTGAATAATAGAAGAATTCTACCATGCTGACTTCATATGCATTCAAATAGAGATTACCAAGTTCAGGATAGTACAACTATAGTGTGTATTACACACATACTGAAAAAGTGAAACACTGAACACTATGAGTACACACAAGAAATGAAATGAACTTTAAACCTTAACAGATGGTGTAAGTAAATGATATGCAGACGCAATTGAAGTGGCAGGTCTATGTGATTCTTCAGGAGCTTCTTCACTACCATCAACTTCTTGGTCATCATCTTCATCTCTTTCCTTCTCTTCTGAACTTAAAAGCAAAGGTTTTGTAAGGCCATTTTCCAGTTTGCTTTCAACTGCTTCTGCCATTAGAAACATGAATTTTGTCTTGTAAGTATTTCCTATTAAATATCATTATCATTAATATTTATTAATGTATTTAGATTTCCAAAATAGCATAAAAATTGGTGAAAGAAATAGCAAAGATGCAGAATTTCAGTAGACACCTTTTCTAGGACAGGACCTACGGAGTGGGCATATTTACCTATGTCTGGGTTTTCAAAACAGGCTTTCAATACACTCAATCCTAGTCAGAGACTAAAAATACTTATATCGATGCTCAGCCCTTGTCAGACATGTATAGACCTGGTAACAATTAAGCTATCCAGCCCATAGCAATGGATCCAGTTGAACAATAAAACATAGGGATATAGATAAGCAGGATTTAAGTCATTCAGCATTGAATCAGATCTAACCTGCTTAATAACCTGATCAAAATGTCTGATTCAGATCCAACAAAACTTGGATTTATATAGATAAGCTGCATGCTTGCTTTATGTTTTTATATTTTCTGTTAGGTTGCTGTTCGTGATGTTAGTTATTTAAGCCTGTTTGTTTATGTAAGCAGTAGGGGCATTAGTGTAATTGCCATGCTATTTATGTTGCTAATATAAATAACTGAGTGGAGTGGCACTCCTAGCTGACCCACACTCTTTCTCTCATCTCTCTCCTCTGTTTCTCTCTTCTTTCTATTCTCTTATCTTCTCCTTCTGTTTTCTGTTATCATTCTTACTGAATTTACATCAGAAATTGGACTGATTACAGTCCTCATCAGACAACTTGGTATCAAAGCCAACCTAGGGTTTCTCATGTGTGTCTGATCCAGCTGACTGCATGAGAACTTCCAAGGGCTGGAACTATAGAAAGATTGGTCCATCTACTGATTCTTGGAGGTTACTGGAAGGGTTCAGCAGACGTCCAAGGGCTTGTAGAGTCTTGGAGAATGTCTGGAAAACAGGGAGAATCAGAGAACAAGAAAGTTCAAGATTAGGGTTCAGTTTGGGATTGGAAGTGGCAATCAGCCTTTTCTAGGTAAGTTTTCCTTTTCCCTTGAGAATGACACCAATCAGAGATAGATCAGACCTATCTGGAAGGAGCAGCTGAGAGTTTTTGATTTCTCAGAGTTTTTTTCTAGGGTTTTTCTTAACCCTACGATTAGTTTTCTGTTCTCGGTCTCAGTTTTCTGACTGTCAACAGTTTTCTGGGTGAATTCTAGACCAGTTTCAGCATTCTAAATCGACTGTAATTTTTTTTTCTGGGGGAGCACAACAACTTCTGGTTGATTACCAGATCTGTTCCAGCATAAAAGGTTTTTTTTTTTTTGGGAGGTTTCTTGCAAAGAACCGTTTTCTTCTGATAAACCTCTTATAGAAATGGTAGGAACTGAGTTAAAGATTCAAGGGGAAAGTGTTTTAGGGGCTGGAAACATGACTGAAAACACTTTTCAGATCACCACTGTCAAATTTGATGGTTTTAATTACTTGGAATGGGCTCAACCAGCTATGGTGGCTATTGGGGGCAGAGGGAAACTGGGCTATGTGAATGGGGATGTAAAGAAACCAACCAAGGAAGACCCATCATATGCCAAATGGGTTCAGTAGAACTATTTAGTCATGACTTGGCTGTGTAACTCCATGCAGGCTCACATTAGCCGAAATTACGTGTGGGAAAAAACTACTAAGGAGATTTGGAAGTCATGAAGGAAACTTACTCTCAGCCACTTAATGTTGCTAGGGCCTATGAACTGAAATGTGAAGTAAATAATCTTAAGCAAAGAGAGAAATTAGTCTCAATTTATTTCTCTACCTTGAAATCTTTATGGCATGAAATTAATCACCTAGAAACCATTAAGTGGGAAAATCAGAAGGATGCCAAAACCTATAGAAAACAGGTTGAGACCAATAGGGTTTTTGAATTCTTAGCTGATCTGAATTCAGAGTATGATATTGTGTGACAACAACTTCTCACCAAAGAGAGTGTGAAGAAAGTAGGAGAAAGTAAGAGAAAGGTTATGTTGTAGTTTTAGCCTATTGGAATCAGCTCTAGCAATAGTGAAACCAAAGTTTGGGGGTGACAAGGAAAGGGACATAAGGAAGGAAGATAAGAGGGAGTTAGTTTATGACCATTGCAAGCAGCCGAAGCATACCAACGAGACTTGTTGGAAGTTATATTCACACCTAATTCTAGCAAAGCTTAGAAACAAAAAGGGGAATACCAATGTGGCTATCACTACTGATGGTGCATCCTCATCTAGCACAAGAACCACATCCCTAGACACTTTAGCTGTTGTCCGAGCCACTCTGACTTAATTGGAAAGTGAAGTTGGCACTTCAACACCCTCATCTCAGCCATCGGTTACACCTGCTACTCCTACTTCAACATTTGCTCATTCAGGTATAAGGGCTTCAGCATATCATGTTTTAGCCCCAAGTAACAATGGACCTTGTTAGGTTATAGATTCAAGTGCCTCTGTGTTATGGGCCCGGGCGTAGTTCCCCTTGCCCCTCCCTTTGCGTGCTGACCCTATCGTGGCGACCTAAGGGGTGATTTGTCCAAGAGATCACCCTAACTCTCCTTTACTCTTCTCTTTGACTGAAATTTTGGATGCCTTTATTCAATAATAGTGGCTCCTTAAATAGGAGATTACAAGAGTCCT